GTGTGGACTTCAACTCCCAGAATTCTGGCTGGCTGCGGAATTCTGGGAGTTGAAGTCCACACATCTTAAAATTCCCAAGGTTGAGAAACGTTGATCGAAGCTATCCTGCACTTTTGTTCCAAAGAGATGAAGCAAAGTCGAGAGCAGCAGACGGGCCAGGCCCAAACAACATCAGCCTAACACGGGTTTAATTCTATTGGCATCCACTTCCAATTAATATGTAAAAGATGGGGCCCCGTGCATGGAGGGGCGTCTCCCTCCTGTTGCATGAAAAACAAGGACGAGGTGGCATTGCTTGGCACGATGCCGCAGCCAAGGTTTTGGGAAGTTGCGTGCAATTGAGGGGCACGGCTTAAGCAAATGCCAGCCGACAACAGGAACAATGGTACTTTACCTCCCCACTTTAAACCCACACCTCTGAATTAAAGTTGGGGGGAGCTACCGTGCTGATCAAGCTGAAAACAAAGGGTGCAGAGAAGCGGGACTGTTCCTTTTTATATTTTTAATGTATTTGTTGACTGTGTTCAGTTTTGTTGTACACCGCCCAGAGTCGCCTGCGCTGAGATGGGTGGCTATATAAATTGGTTTAATAAATAAATAAAAGCAGAAAATGGGGGTGGTCAGGGGGGTCTGTGGCCGCGTCTGCTCCTTAACCACACAGGAATCAATGCCTTGTCAAGTTCCCTGTAGAAAGAGCTGGCTGCCAGATTGCCAACTCTTGAATCACCCTAGGTAGCTATGCTGGGCCAGACAGCCTCTGCAGCAAGGGACAAGGAGTTGATAGTGGTTTCTCGGCCTGGGAGTGGTCTGCCCTGTTGGTTTCTCTGCCCCTTGAACGTTGGGGGCAAAGACAGTGCGGCGGAGCCATCGAGGGATTTTCTAGTCAGTTGGCAACCGGAGCTGTGACCGGAAAGGAACCGTAGAGCAGATCCAGAGCGGAGTGATTCAAAAACCCAAAGCCCTCCTGGTTTGCAGGGTTTATGCGTGCCCTATCTAGGCCAAAGGAACCGAGCTGGCGTTGCCAGCTGTGCGTACCCATCCCGATTCATTTACGAGGGAAAGACGTGTGTGGATCCCCCAAATGGATTCTTTCCGAGAGCAGGTGAAATCCGTGCGGAGAATCCACCTTTCCTCCCTCCCTTCTTTTTATCTGGAGATGTTCAGACCCGAATGCCAAAAAACCTGAAGTCGTGAAGCTGGCATGCTGCCCCCCACTTCCAATAATTCCAAATACAAAAAGCTGGGGCAGAGGGAGAGAAAACCACAACCATGGATTCAACTTGTATGCCACCCGACTCTCGGCAACCCCTCTCGCCCTTTGCCCATGCTCAGAGGCACTCTTCTTTCCCGCGCAGCAAACCGAAAGATGGGCTCCCCCGCATTCTCTCTTTCGCCTTCTCTTCCTTCCCACCTTTTGCCCAGATCGTTCAGGTGCTCTGGGCAAGGATGTCAAGAGAGGTGGGGCCGAGGGATGGGGGGCAGGCGGGCAGGAGGAAGAAATCGCAGCATGCCCCTTCTCGCCCTGAGGAGTCAGCCAGGTCTGGGCTGTGGCCACTCCCTGCCAGCTTGGATGCCCGCCAGGAGGGCTGGTTGCCTTCGCCAGGGCAGGGGG